TTATCATTAACTAACGGTCACTAAACACCACACACGTCAAAATGTGAATAAACTTTACATTTTGCTTTACATTTGGTTATTATGTCTACATTTTAGTTTCTAGGCAAAATTACTATATGCCTACACTACCCTTTACCACAATACATATTAATTACAATTGATATTTTTACCCTTGATTCTGTAAAGGTAATAATAGTAACCAATTAAGCAGGGGTGTCGGTAGCCGCAACAGTTTAGGCCTTGACTCAGCGCTCATCGTTGAAAACTAAAGGTCTACGGTTTGAATCCAACTTACTTACAAACGGGCTTTTTCTCAAAAACATCAGCTTCTCGAAGGTTCATATATCCTCAAAATTGAAATACCTTCGGAAAAAACTGCTAAGTACTTAGTACTTAAGTAACGATGTAAATGCATGGACGAACTCGATGTCAGTTGTGTATTATGTAAATAAATAGAAAGGAAACAGAAAAAGAGAGAATGCGCTCTCTCTCTCTCTCTCTCTCTCTCTCTCTCACACACACACACACACACACACACACACACACACAAACACACATACACTCACTTCTCCTATCTACTTATTTGTCTATTTGGATATTTGTCGGTCTCCCTATCTATCTGCCAATCTCTCTATCTATCTATTTATGTATTTACCTCTACGACTCTAAATACAACTGCATTTATTCATTATCACTCTTCCCCTCTCTTCACCTTTTTTCCTCTCTCTCTCTCTCTCTCTTTATCTCTATCTCTTTCTAACTTTACCTCTATATTTCTCTCCCTCTCACTTTTTCTCATTCTCTCTCTTTCTCTCACTATTACTCTCTATGCTCAAGTTAAATAAAAAATTGAGGCAATCTTAAATATAGTTTTAATTTAAAAAATACGAAAATTATTTTTTGTTTGTATTAGTTAACTTTATGGTTAAATGTAATAACTTCTCATTCTCTGAGACTTGAAGACAAACAAATTGAATAAAATAACTATCTGATTTATGTTTCAAAATTTTTGTAGTATATGAGATCGTCGGCAAAATTTTCGGGGTGGATTTAAAGTTACCAAGTGTAACAATTCGACCATGAATAAAAAAGTCAGTCTACCCGCTATTGGTAATTTTATGAGTCATCTGTTCCCACCGAGCGTTCACGAGGGTCCTTTGTGAGGGAAAGGGGACGTCATTTATTCGGGGGTTGAGGGCGGTTTCAAACGACAAAAGGTGTGAAAGTTGAATGGGCCCCGACGTGGGGGTCAATGAAGGCAGGTGGGCCGAAAACGTTCTTTCTCCACCAACAAAAGTGAGATCACCGTTTACAACGTACCGCCGATCCATGCTGCACCGACGTCTACGATGTAGTCAGTGTCAAGGTTGATGAACAAACAGTCATACATGTAACCCACCCGCGATTTCTAAAACTAGGTTGCAACGAATTGGGAAGGTATTCTATTTTAAGAATCGTTACAATGCCCTCGCCAAAAACATTCAGCTGATTCAAACTCATTGGTCAATATACACTGCGTTTCAACAAACGGTTAAAATAATTTGCTGGTTTCTGTTAGAACATATTGTCATGTTTTTTAATGAAAAAATTAATACATTAATTATTAACATGTATGTATTTACTTGTTTTTGCCATATTTTTTGTTGTTATTGTATTAAATGATTTTACTTTCTTATTTAAAAAAAAAACACAAAAACAAATGGAAATTTTTTTTAACATAATTCAACAAATTTGTATTATAAAAAAATAATTTTAAAATTCCATGATTAATATAAGTTTAGAATAATTAGATTAATCATAAAACATTTATTACAATTTAAATTAAAAACAATTTCTTAACGTCCAATGTCCAAATACTACAAAGGTCCTTTTTAAGAACTGACTCGGCAATTAGTGGAATGCAGCTACTAATACTCACGTAAGCAAAACGTAATTTTGACCATTGATCTGATCAATCTAGTTTATTTGGGCCCTAGATTCTTTGGACCAAAAACAAACTTAACATAACTTAACTTTTTTATTTATTAGAACATTGATAGTAACAATGAAAGGGACATAACGTTAATAATAATTATAATGCATAATATTAAATAATTATTTTTATTTACATTAAATTATATAAATAATGAACTGTCTAATCTAAGCAAACGCATTTTTAATGAAACTAATTTCTTCACCAGAATCAAATAAGAAAAATATTAAATTTTTACGAGCTGATAGATTCGGACTACGTAAAATTTGAAAATGAAATAAAAACAAATATTATCATTACTCTTTTGTTTGACTCTGCCACATCAAAATATTTGTAAACGCTTTACGTTCGCCTTGAAATATCGCCAAATTAAAAAAAAAATGCCTACAAATTGCTGAAATAACTTTTCGATCTAACGGTGAAAACGAAATTTACACATAGGTGAGAAAAATAAAAGATTAGATACAATAAATCCACTAGATTAGATATAGTAGTAATCCCTTCAGTAACAACTTAAGTGACAAAAACTGTTAGATATTCGATTTCCACATTATTTTTATTAGATCTAAAGAATAGTAAACTTGTATCATTCTAATACTATATAAAAAGAGATAATATTTCATTCAATGGGCATAAAAAAACCGTTCTATTTCATCTATGTAATCGATAGAAATAAAATACTGATTTTTTTTCTTGAAGGTTATTTTTAAGAGATTAGCCGAATGATCGATGTCTAAATTGAATTTAAAGTATTTTATCGTTTTGGAAGACGGCATTGACTTTCTTTTTTGATAAGAAACATTTTTCGTCGGTGATTCACTAATTATATCCCATTCGTTTAAATTTAGGCGTTAAATTGAAGAATTTTTACGAGATATCTTTGAGTACTTTTGGGACAAGGATGATTTATTTGTTGGCAATTGCTTTCCCGTCCGTGAGTTAAATCAAAAGAAAAACTTCTTTTTGCAAAGTTTTTGTTGTTTACTTCTAACTTATTTAAACCAAAAATACACAGAGTATAAAGGTCATTGCTAAAATAAAAGCAAGTTTGGAGAAAAAATTAGTATAAAATTATTGTTATTTCGCTTAATAAATGCAAAAGTCATGAATCTTATAATCTTACATAATGTTCTAAAAAATTCAATAGGAACTTTTTTTTTAATTTAAAAACTAAAAACGAATTATTAGTTTCTATTACCAATTAATTAGTGAACAATTTTTCTTACAAAACTTAACATTTCAATAAGCACGAAGTTAAACGGCTTTAGAGACCTACTGTTGTTTTGATCTTCTTTTATTTTTTGACTAAACATTTGAAACATACAATTTGGTTAAATCTTGTCCGACAAATAAACTCAAAAACGTAATAAACTTCTCATTTTTTGGAGGACTTTGAGCAAAGCCTTAATCATGTTATTTAATTATTTATTTAATTAGTTGACGTTGAATATTCAGAATTGTAAATGAGTAAGTACCCTCTGACTACTCTCAAAAATAAAAAGCTGAAACTAGACTTGATGAAGCCATGTTGAACTGATTCCCGCTGATAAATTTTCTGGATTAGTCTGTGTGCATTTTTTTTAATATTTAAAACAAAAAGTAAAAGCACCAATACAATTTTACTCAGTGATTTTTATTCATTTGACAAAAAAAATTGAATTTAAAGAATGTTTTTAGACAACGCGGAAAATAGAGGAACGATTTTGCCACACTTGTTTTGCTCATCGTTATTTACGCTGTAAAACGTAAACAATTTTAACCCAGATTTGTCACTCTGTTTGTAACGGTGTTTATAAAATACTTTAATATTTCTATTGTTAAAATAATTTTTAAAAACTCTCATTTGTGTCTTGTTGTCGTGATTTTTTTTAAATATCAAAAAAGTGTATAAACTATTTAATTAATCAGTTTCAATTATTAGAGAAATGGCTACTAGACAGACGTTTAAAAATTACGTTTCACATTAAGAAAGTACTACTTCGGATTTATGATCGAGAATTCTGAGAGACAGCAAAGAACCCCAAACTCTATAGCATATTCCTTACAAGTCCTCCGTACAATAGTAAATTCGGTTCTTTGTAAGGAATCGCACCATTCATTCCGACCTAAATATTCCCCTATGGCCCAGACCTTGCCAAATCCTGGTAACTTAATTCCATTCCAAAATATCTCCTAGCCCTAATCCAATAATACATAATCTATACCATCTTAATCTTTCTTCCAACGCTTTAACAGCTGCCACGACAGTCAAGAAACGTATCCATAGAAAAGTGTGATGACGGCACCACAGTGCGACATTTCATGCCAGTCATACCAAGTAACCCACAAACACGTTTGTTCGTTATTTTGACTGAGGTACTTCATATCTAGTGTCACTGATAGTCTCAGTGACACAAGCCTTAATTAAATAGAGAACGATGTTCTATCATAAGAATACTACCAATGTATATTTTCTCTACTGTTGATTTTAAGTGTTTAGTGTTATTTCCTTTCTCAGTGTTACTTGTTACCGACTTAAAGTAATTTTAAAGTAATGCAAATTAAAAAAAATTAGAAAGTTCAGTTGTAAACAAAATATATATATTTACGAATAATAGAAAGGGAGAAAAAAAATTGTTCGTATGATATACAGACAAAAAAATAAGGTTTCTTTAGTGGTGGCTGAAAAGATGAAAAGCAATATCGGTTGTGTGCAATGAAGGCCAATTTTGATCTGAATAGACAAGTTTAAGATTAAAATATTTCAAAAATGTCCCATCTCTGAGTTAATGAAAACGGACCCAACTGCTTCAGCACAGAGTAGGGCGGAGATATAAGGTCACGGGCATGGCAATTGCTACTTCTCGTTTTTAACATGTGTTGTCGAACCTTCAGGGCTACCCGACGCATAAAATTGTTTACACCCGAACCGCAACGCCCGTTCCCGGCTAAATTTATATCAGAACCACCTATTTCCCCGGCACAATCGGCTCCGGCCGACGATTATTCAGAGACGTCACCCGGAGCGGTGTAAAGAGAGAAAAAGTACCTTGATTCTTCGCGGCGCAGAGGCCTACAAGAAGAAGCCAAATCGTGATCTTCATGTCGGTTGTAACGATAGGCGATCAGACTCGAAGAAACATTCTTGTCCGACCGGCACTCTCACAAAACACACTTGCACTCCGAGGGGGGAGAATTTCCCGAGGAAATAAGCGTTTACTTGCACTCTTACTCGGCGAGACGGCCTGTGCCGTTACGCATTCTTCGAACAGGAGAAAGAAAAAAACGTGTTTTTTCCCGAGGTTATTCGAAAGAAATTGGCCGGTAATCAATCGGATATTTTAATTAAAATTCAATAGGCAATGTCGTCGAAAATTGGCGAACGGTGAGCTGGGACCAGACTTCGAAAAGATCGCAAAACCTCAGGGAGAGAAGTTGTCTCGTTGACCACGTTCAGTTGAATACTGTAGCGAACGGCTCTCTGCCACTCTTTTATCTGCCAGTAAGGCAAACCCTCTACCTCTCCCACCACTTCTAATGATGTGTTCCTAGCAACTTAATTTTGTCTATTGATCTCATTGGTTGCATTCTCGCGGTAAACATTGCATAACATGTGTACAAGTGTGCATCCCTTTTTTAGGTCTAGGGTCATATAATAGAATTAACTTTTCTTGAATAACAACATTACAACAGAACCAATGGCTTTGATATCCTGCTATTCTTCCTTCCTTCCTTCCAGTAGACGTTACTGGGCTTATATCGTAAAAATGCTAACACTATTCAATTTAGAATGATTTATTTTGAAAATAATTACACAAGGACAAGAATCTACATCTGGAAGTTGATAATTTACGCAATAAACTACAATTTTCTCTAAATAATAATTAACAATGTATATCTTGAGAATTTTCTATAGATCTTTATTAATCATAATATAGAACCTACCAGTTTTATATTAATATGTAAAATAAAACGAAAAACAATTAATTGTTTCAATAAAAATACTAATGGTTCCATTTTAAATCAATGTTTAAATGAACATTATTGGAGAAATGAATAAATATGTTTTTGAAATATGGATGAGTTTTATTATTTAATTTATGCACTTAACTCCATATGTTGAAGCATGTTTTCTAAGGCTGTAATTAAGTACTGGATGAAAACCTTTCAACGTATAAATCGAGAAAAAATCTAATCTGACAAAAAGCCAATAAAACCTTGAATATGGCTGAATATAATATATTTTATTATTGAATATAATACATTATTAATTATTATAGTATAAATTTTTAAAAATTTATAGCGGTAAACGAATTAAGAAATTATATGGAAAAGTAGCCGATTACTATATTTTACAAAATAATATGGTTTTCTTTGATTACCTACGATTTCCAAAGAGAATTTTTTAAATGTGTTTAAAAATGTATATTGATTATATTTTTTATGTAAAATTTTTTAGAAAATGATAATAAAATAATTCAAATGTCGTTTCTTTTTTTTTTTTAAATAGACAATTTTTATTCAGCCATCCTGTATTGAGTTTTATTTGATTAAATGCATTTCATGTGCAGATTTGAAAAACAAACATGTAAGTAGATAGTGTTGTGGTAGGGAAAATGAAATAAATAAAATAATTATTCAGATATCGTGAGATGCGGTCGGGAAATAAAATAAAAAACATACTTTTTTAATAACAATAATATGTATTTTTTCCAAAATGTTATTTTGTTTTATCCAATTTTTAAACCTAATTTTTCCCCCATCATCACAGAGTTGTTTCATTTGATTCTAAGAATTTTATGTGCAGTTCATGGCAAAACGTTGAATAGGAATAATTAAAACTTTTGTGAGCTAACCAGTGTTGTAATGGTAAGGAAAGTAGTAGAATTATACAACAACAATAATATATTTTTTAATAATACTTAAAGTTTGCTTAAAATATGTTTAAAATGTCAGTTATTTTATTGGTGTTTAGTGTTGTTTAATGCTGTCTTTAAAGATAAAAACTATTTTTATCCAACCATTTTATGTGTTGATCATAGTAAAAAATTTAAGAATTGGGTAGTTTTACTGTATAGTACATACAAATACTATTATACTGTAGCGACACTTTTCAATATCCGTCGCATCAAAACTTCCCCTATACTTAAATCTTAGGAACCTACCCATGCCAACCTAAATATTACTGTTTTTAAAATGTACCTAATATTACGAAGCTGTTGATTAAAACGGAAAAAATGTTCAATGTTTTATGCAGCTTCACAAATAGTAAATGGGGAGCAGACCCCTTTGTGGGCATGCACTTTTATCGTTCTACAATCAGATCTATAATTGATTTTGGCTCCATTTTTTATTCGCAGGCTTCTAACTCACAGTTGAAACGATTAGATATTTTGCGTAATAAATGCCTACGTAGAATATTAGGGTGTCTCCCCAGCACTCCTATCTCTGCATTGTCTTCAGAATCCTGCGAACCTCCCCTAAATTTTAGAAGGCAAAAACTTGCTGCAAAGTGTTTATACAAGTTCTTCGGTAAAGCAAGCCCGTCCTTCGACAAACTGTGTTTTTTATCTCAGAAAGTTCTCACTGTCAGNTATATATATATATATATATATATATTGTGTGTGTGTGTGTGTGTGTACGTACGCGTATGTATATATGTACAATAAGTATAGCTCAAATAAGCAACAAACTATCTGGCTGATGGCTAATACCTACGGTAAGGCAAAAAAAAAAAAAATGTACCTAATACGCTCCCATTATATGAAATCTCAAAATATCATCCCGACTACCATAAAACCCCAAATCCAGATAAATATCTTCCTAATTAATATACCCTCAAGATTTAAACCCGTTTAAATAAAAACCATCAAAATTTTCCATTGATCAATATTAGTACTGTTAATAAAGAAAGTTATGTGTTAGTTATAATCCTTGTTTTATTGATGATGAACCATCTATTTTAAATACTTCAGCCCTGTTTTATCGGATGTAATATTATATATTCTTTTAAATTCCAACAATTAGCTAAATAAATCTTTATTGATGAAAATCATTATTATAGGTGGAGAGAGGTTCGGGGTTGCAAAACCTTTGATGCTACCAATTATCAGAAATCACAGTTTCACTTTTTGTACTACAGTTCATAGAAAGAACTGTCCGCTAAAATAAAGTTATTTTACAACCTATGAACAGGAAATGAAACGTAGGATAGTTTGCGTAAAATAAGCCATCCACGTGTTTTCAAATAGTATTAAAACTGACATTTTCTCCCGGAGTATATAAACAATTAACAGTCGCCCACGATTCCTAACAAAGTTAAACATGGGTTTGTTGAGCTGTGGGCGCGCAAGGGCGGCCTTCGAAACGTATGCCTAAAAGTTTATACTCCTCGAACTCTCAACCCGTCAGATTTTCGTACGGACAATCCATAATTTTCGTCCTTAAAACCGGTTTTATCCGAGTTCTAACCCATTTTATGAAATCGCTTCTGTTTATTAATAACCACGGACCTGTCACGGCCTAAGAAGCCGGAGTTGATGCCTGGAGAGGAAGTACACGCTTTAAAGGATGTTTTGTACTCTTTTTAAGATATTGCACACATTTTGGTAAATGAGATAAAATATAAAAAATATAAGATACGAAACAACACTATTTTGACAATTATACAACATGTAGTAAAAATTACAAATATTTTCACTTGACGTCTCTGAAGTTATTTTTTTAAATTTGGGTAAGGATTTACAACTAAACAATTCTAGTTCAAAATTATAACAATTTTTATATTCTCACTTTCATCCTGTTCCTTACTTTTTCACCTCACTAAATGTGTGTGTGTGTGTGTGTGTGTGTGTGTGTGTGTGTGTGTGTGTGTGTGTGTGTGTGTGAGAGAGAGAGAGAGAGAGAAATATAAAATTTCAATTTATTTTGTTTTTATACAATAAAAGTAAGAGTAAAGAGAGAGAAAGAGAGATGGAAGAAAAAAGAGTGATACAGCCAGAAATAGACAACGAGAAACAGGCATACTCAGAGTTATTGAGTGAGAGAGGTATAAAGTGAGAGTGAGAGAGAGAGAGAGAGAGAGAGAGAGAGTGAGAGCGAGAGAGACAAAGTTACAGAGGGAGAATGAAAGAGAGAGAGAGAGTGATAAAGAGAGATAAAAGGTGGATTTTTTAAAATAGAAATAATATCAAGTCTCAATTTTCGTGCTCATAACCTTTGTTGGGTGCAGATTTGTTTTCGGGTGAATGCATTCAGCATGACCTAAACCAGAGGGAAACACAACAACCTGATGATATCTTGGGTGGCAGGGCATAAAGCAATTTTGGGTAACGAAAAAGCAGACACACTGGCCAGAGGAGGATCTGCAAGACCATACATAGGTCCCGAACCTACACTTGGGATAACAAAAACAAATACAGAATCCTCCATCGCAGAATGGATCCAAGCAAAACAAAAGGAGAAGTGGATAAACTCTAGCGGTGCTAGACATAGTAAACATGATGAAACAACCCTCACCAAGACTGGCAAAATTACTGCTGCATCTGGGGAGGGCTGAACTAAGAGGAGTGATAGGACTACTAACCGGTCACTGGCATCTGAGAAAACATCTATACAACATGGGCACATACAACGATGATCTGCAGAGATGCAACGAGAAGGAGGAAACAGCCACTCATATCATCTTCGAATGCGAAGCAACTGCTCAACGTAACATATGAAAAAACTTAGGGGATGAAATTGTCTGAGCTACAGTCAATGACCTGACACTTCTAAGGAGAACGATAAAGTATATTGCACTGACCTAAGGAACTAGGAAGGAACAATAAGCTAGAAGGCTGCAGTGCCTGATTACAAACCTCCGTTCCTAGTATCCTTATCAACTAAGATAATACCATACCATACCTACGAAAATAAAACAAATGTTCAAACCCTGCATTAATTTTGCACCAACACAATATCCTTCTCACTTTTGTTTCTTTTTCAGTCTCTGATACTGTTTATTGCATTTATTCTCATTTTCTCTCACTCTCAGTATTTCTCTTCCCACTCCCACTCTCACTGCCTTTCTAACTTTTAACCATCTCTATCTCTCGTCTCTTATTTATTCTGCTCAGTTCAATCTCCGTTGCATATCGCGTTTTTGTTTTTCTTTTATCAAAGAAGTCTGATTTAGGATATGAAACCTTAGCGCACCCAGCATATTCACCCGATCTCGCCGATTTTAATCACTTCTTGAGGGATGCAATTTTTAGAGAACGCAGTGAATCCGAAAACGCCTTCCAAGACTTTATTGTGAGACGGAATAACTTTTTTATAAAATTATAAAGAATACATTTTCTTTATTTTGTAAAATTGAAAAATAGTTTTGCCTGCCTTTTTAATACATGCATTATTTTTGCGCCAGCCCAATAATTATATACTACACATTAGGTTTTCATATATTATGACATTTCATATATATATAGTATCTTTTGCA